TCAATGGGAGCCTTACAATCTTTATTTAATTATTTTTATTTTTTATTTTTTGTATTTTTTTCCACGGCAAGATAAATTTATAACAGCTCAGAAAGAGTACAAACCGACAGCTGGTTGTTACACGTCTACAAGAGGCAGTACAATATTTACTTGGCAATAATATGCATAGTTTGTTGTGAGAGCAGAAATGGTAAAGAGCGAAATCTCTTTCGTTATTGCCTTCCATGTTTATATATTTGTGCTGCTACCTGCAATTTCTACTGTCAACTTTTCCATTAATGGAGGACAAGTTGAAATCAAGAGCTCTGATTTTCCTGATGGGTTTCTCTTTGGAGCTGCTACTTCTGCTTATCAAGTAAGTGTGTTCCTCTCTTTTTTAATTTTTTCTTCAGATTCATTGGACTAACAGTTAATGAATTTGGTTTTGTTCTTCTTCTTCTTACAGAAAAATGCATTGTACTAACATTATCATTGCATTTTCTCCTTTCCTTTCCCCTTTATAAAATATATATAAAAATCGTAGATTGAAGGAGGATTTATGGAAGATGGTAAGAGTCTAAGCAACTGGGATGTTTTCTGCCGGCGTCAAGGTAATAATGACTTTCTCCAAGATTTTCTCCGTTTCTTTTTTCCCTTTTCTTTTCAATTTTCTTTTTTCTTAAGGTTAAATTTTGAATTTGGATGTGTGGGAGAGTTGTAAGGTAGCATTGCAGATGGGACCAATGGTGATATAGCTGATGATCATTACCATCGCTACATGGTATTATAACCTCTTTTGTTTTTCTTTCCGGTTATAAACCGTACAACGGAAGTTTTCGATTGATTGTAGTCACTTTTGAAATTCTGGGGTTCCTCTAATTTTGCTTGGTTTTAACTAATGAATCACAGGAAGATATTGATATAATGCATTCACTTGGTTTGACAGCTTACCGATTTTCGATCTCATGGAGTAGAATTCTTCCTAGTATGTACTTTTCGTTTTCTAATAAATTCAGCCTGCGTTTGTTTTCGGCAGCTTTTGTTCATTTGAGTTCCTCCTCTCTGTAGGAGGAAGATTTGGTGGGGTTAACTTGGTTGGTATTGCCTTCTACAACAAGATTATCGATAAACTCCTACTTAAGGGTACTACTTTTTTCCAAGTGACAGACTCTAGTCATTCAATGCTTCAGTACCTGTTCATTTAAATCATATAAGGTCCAGTGCAGGTATCGAGCCTTTTGTGACGATTTTCCATAATGAGTATCCTCAAGAACTTGAAGACAGACTAGGAGGCTGGCTCAGTCCTCTAATGCAGTTAAGAAAATATCCTTTTTCAGTTATCCAGATGTTTAGTTGACTCACTAAGTAACATTTTTATTTTTGATTTCGATTGGCTATATGCTTGTGTTTTGTAATAGTAATGTTTTTATTATTCCTTGCATTGTAAAGCATTTTGATGTGCTATAATATAACAGGGAAGAATTTGTTCATTTTGCCAAAACCTGTTTTGAATACTTTTCCGATCGGGTCACATATTGGATCACGATCAACGAGCCCAACTTATTCTCGGAAAATTCATACGAGAGGGCCACGTACCCACCCGCTCGTTGTTCGCCTCCTTTTGGTGACTGCCCATATGGGAATTCGGATGTGGAGCCTCTGATTGTGGTGCACAATTTGTTACTGGGGCATGCAAAAGCTGCTAAGCTGTATCGTGAGCAATATAAGGCAAGTACAGAGGAATCAATAAATTTTAAAATGTGATGTCTGTACGTGCATTTATAGGAGTTTTGGGCTTCCATTCATTCAAAGTGATGTTGATGCAGCACAAACTAAATGGTGTAATGAGCATCTCTGTCTGTGCATTTATGTATGTACCTATGAGAGATGAGGAGGCCGATAAGGAAGCTGCTAACAGGGCCTTGGCTTTTAATGTTGCTTGGTAGGTGTGTGTGTGTGTGTGTTGTGTATAGAGAGAGAGAGAGAGAGAGAGAGAGAGAGAGAGAGAGAGAGAGAGAGAGGCCTGAAAAGAGTCGGGAAGATGAATCAAAACAAAGTGGGAAACTTAGACAAAGATGAATAATCTGTCTGTTTAATCCAATCAAAATGTTTAATAGTTTCTATTTCTTTTTTATGAAAGGACGCTCGATCCACTTGTATTTGGGGATTACCCTCCGGAAATGAAGCATTACCACGGAAGTGAACTGCCGAGTTTTTCTTCAGAGGAGAAAGAGCTTTTAAGGGATAGCATAGACTTTATCGGGATAAATCATTATGGCACACTCTATGCAAAGGATTGCATACGCTCAAGTTGCGTTTGCAATGATTCTAGCTGCACCCAAGGTGGGGACCGTCTCATCCGTGGCTTTGTGTACACTACCGGAGAACGTGATGGTGTTCCTATCGGGGAACGAGTATGAAAATGCTACATTTTTAACATTTTTTCTTCTTGGTATTTTATCCTTTTCTATTCTGTTTCTGCATGAGCCTTTTTGGGGGGTCGGAACAAGAATATCTTATTCTGTTTGCCTTTCGCAGACGGGAATGCCTCGGTTTTTTGTTGTTCCAAGAGGCATGGAAGATATTGTTGCCTATGTTAAGGAGAGATACCAGAACAAGCCGATGATTATCACGGAAAATGGTAAAAATTAGGTGCACTCACTCGCTTGTATTTTTTGAAGTAATTATTTATCCCATCCCTGTTCATTTGTGCTCTGTGAATGATTTTAATCTTCAGGGTATTCTTCCCCAAGTAATGAGGATTACATCTACCAGCACGACGTGAAAAGAATTAATTATCATCAGTCATATCTTCAATATCTCGCTCGTGCCATAAGGTACACTTTCACTTTCAAATAATTACAAATCCAAATGATCTTCTGTTTGAAAATCTGGATCGAAATTTACAGGAAAGGCGCTGATGTGCGTGGCTATTTGATATGGAGCTTGATGGACAATTTTGAGTGGTCGAGTGGGTATGACATCAAGTTCGGTTTATATCATGTGGATCTTCATACGCTAAAGAGGAGCCCAAAAATGTCGGCCGCTTGGTATACACATTTCTTGAGCAATGCCACTACAGCTTCAGTTAAAGTAAGCCATGTATCTGAAATTCAATTCCTGTGATTGAAAGCATGTATTGAGGGTGAATCCTGAAATTAAGGCACCTCAATGTACAATCAACTAATAAAGTTTGTGGTCTCATATTGTTCATTATATTTATACCTGCATTGGTGGCAAAAAATTCCAGATTATTACATAACAGTTTTTCTTTGTTTTTGGTATAATTATTTGGGTGGCAAACTGCTGGGCAGTAATTGTGATGGTGATGGTTGAAATAAAATCCAAGGCAGTGGCTCCACTAAATTAATGAAATAAGATTGGCATATAGTTGGGTGGCCAACTGCTGGGTAATAATTGTGATGATGATTGCAATAATATCCAAGGCTGTGGTTCTACTAAATCAATGAAATAAAATAGGCATATGCTTCATAAAAAAAGGAAATGGACCCAGTTTGATGCCCCTTTTTCTGATGGGGCTATGATGCTGGACTGATTCCCCCATAAATGAACCTCAACTTCACCGACACATGATTATACAGAGGAATTTCTATTTTCACCTTAACACAAACAAATAATGCTAGCAGATAGTAACCACACCCAAAGATAGAGGAGGATTGGGGTTCAAAGACATAGCACTGTTCAATGAAGCTATCCTGGTAAAATAGCTATGGAGAGTATTGACACAACATCAACTACTGATGAGCCAGGTAATCAAGAGAAGGTACTTTCCACGTACTTCAGTATTTGATGCTAAATTGCCACAAAGCTCATCTTGGCAATGGAGGTGTTGGTGGCATGCCAGGAAGTTATTACAAGAGGGATTGGAGGTGGAAGTGAGAATTGGGAAATCACTTCAGGTGAAATGACAAACTGGATACTAGGTGCAAAGCAGAGGAAACCCCAACTGAATGACACAACTGAATAATGAAAATAGCAGCAGACATTTGAGAGTGAATGATTTGATAGATGACAGTTGGAGATATTGGTCAAAAGACAAGGTTAAAGAGGTGTTCAGTGAAACTGATGCAGATGAGGGTCGTCGATTGAAGAATGCGTATAATCGGGCTCGACAGGCAAAGTCCAAAGTGCAGAATTCGGAAGCTGCCCAGGTCCAGGTGTTAGCGCCACTACCCTTAGCGGCGCTTGTAACACCCCGCCTTATCGTGAAATCAGAGTGCGAAAATTTCGCAAAGTTATTTAAAAATAAAATCTTTTACTTTGCGAAAACTGATTCGGGGTGCTACCGTAAAACGTGACTTATTTTGGAAAAACCGTTATCTTAATTTTTAATAAAATCATACGATTACTGAAAACATAATTTTTCCAAAAGTCCGGTCAAAACATAAGTTCATCAAAACTATCACCAGCGGAAACGTAAATCATCATAATAAATATACAGTCAAAACATAAAAGTCCTGAAGCCTCCGTCATCTCACGCTCCCAGCCCGACATTCTGACCTGAAACATGATAACAATGGGAAATGAGCACTATGGCACTGTGCTCCGTGGAAACTCATACTAATGTAAACATTGAAAATAATAACAACATCATGATATCGGCATATACATAACCTCAACATGAAACCGGTAATAACATGAACATGAATCTGATATCGTCACGCAACGTGACCCTGACCGTTACCTCATCTGCCGGCAAAAACTAATGTCGGACACCATGTGCACACTCTAGTGGACAGACTAGGGCCACTAGAACCCAGAATGGACCGGCGACCATTCCGAGCGGATACATGACATGAAATACATACCTCAAACATGGTACCGTAATTATAATCAATGTAGTACTTAGTCTGAGTCCCCACCTGAACTGCTGAAACTGAACGGTAGTGCTGATGCCTGATCAAACTGAAAATAATATAAACAATTACTAATGACTATGCTCAGACTGTTAACTTAACTGATTATTTTCGTTAAGATGCTCTACTGAACCTGACATGATTTATAGACTCAACCGGAATAACCGGAACTGATCTGACATGAACTTACTGAACTGAAATTATCCCAGAATATTTACTGAAAATGGCACTTAAAACGCGAACCGGGATTGAAATAACATTATTTGGGTCAAACCGGTATTAACCGGTCTGGCCGAACCGCCGGTCTGCTCGGACCGGTCGGCTGGCGGCTGACTCGGTCCACGGCCTTGCCATGGCCGTGGTGCTACTGCATGCTGAACTGGACGTGGGCATGGCCGCTGCCGGGCCGGCCCTGGCCTTGGTCGAGGGTGCTGCATGCACCTGACCACGGTTGGGCATGCACTGGGCGTGGCGTGGCTGCTGCACGGCTTACGGTGCGACGCTGGCCAAGGACGTGCGTGCCGACAAGCAACTGAACGCTGCGGGCGTGCGCTGTGCCTTCCCGCAACACTGGCTACTCGACAGGCTACTGCCGAAGCCATCATCATGCGACGCTGCGCGCTGGCGTGCGTTACCGCATGCTGGCGCGCTTGGCTGGGCGTTGGCGTGCACAGGCGCACTGCCAACGGCTACTCGCAGCGGGTACTGATCACACGCAGTACCTGTCGCGCATTACCTGTACCACCCGCACGCTGGCCGCAGTGCTGGGTGACTGCTGGGCGTGGCTGCCGCTATGTGCGGACAGCGCGGCCTACGGCCGACCCTTGCCGGTCGTTCGGCACTAACTCCCGAGCATTCTGACTTTACGGAACATAATTTAATTTAACATAAACCTGATCGCTGAATTAACTTAAAAATACTACTTTCGCACGATAAACTGAATGGGTCGTGGCGATCGCGCCGTGCGCCGCCGACGGCGATAGGCCGTCACCCGACCGACTCAACTTATTCCTCGTCAACTCAAGACCAATTCAACATAAAACATCATTTTAAAGCTGTTGAGACATAAATGCACGGACAAACTTAACTATAACAGAAAATTTCATAACATGACATGGTAGTGCCCACGGCGTGCGCGACGAGCACTGCCGACGACTTTGAGCCGATTCTGGGCTAACACGATATTTTTCCTCGACCAATCTCAAGTAACTGAGTATAAAATGATCTAAAATTACCAATTAAACATGAATTGCACGAGAGTTGCCGGGTAGAATGAGAAGTTATTCGATCACGACTTAACTAGGCATAATCGAACCTTAACATGGTATAGCTATGAATTCTTGAATATGAGTCGAACACTACAGCTTAGAATGGACTTATTAACATGAAATGAGTTGAGGATGGCTTTACCTCCTCAAGTGTTCGACGGAAACTCTCAACTAATCGGGGCCTAACGTGAGCGTGTCCGTGTGCGATACCGACTACTTCTTGTCGTGCGATGCCTGCCGTACCTCCACTGCTACTTGCCGTGCGTATATAAACACTAGAACTAAGGCAAATTGCTAGCTAATTATTGCTGAACTTAATATAACTTAGAGGGGAACTATAAGGCCAAAGAAAAGTGAAGAAAAATTAGCCTAAGTCTCCCTTTTTATAGCCACGGCTTAGAAGAAATTTGGAGGTGAAGGATGAGTTAATGTGGAGATTTCATGAGCTAATGACACTTGTAATGAGGCAAGACTTACTTAGATGACTAATCCTCAAGTAAATCCCCATAATGAC